AAGAATATCGACTTGATGCAGAACGCTGCAGCCTCCTTGCAGCTAGCCCAAGCTGCAACTTCCGGCCTAGCTCCGAACAAGACGCTTTAAATCCCAAAATCAGGAGTTATATTATACAACTTGTTCCGTTTGCAACCATCAGCTATTGCAACTTCCGTGAGCAAGCTGCCTCCAGCAACGCAAGGCCCCCTTGCCTCAGACTTTCAGGACTGGGAATCAAACATGAGCGGCTGCGGAGAAGGAACCAACTCTGAAGAAACACAGAGGGTCAAATCTCGAAGCCCCCAACTAAAAAAGGATGAAAAAGGTATTCACACTCCCGCAGACAAAACTTGTGGTATGTTGCAAAAAAAGCCTCTCGTGCTTCATCCCAACTCCATCTGAGCTCCCCACTCATATATACATTGAGTGATCGATGAGACCTCAACGTGGCAAACTGCTTGCAGACCACATCCGTGGCTGGCCCCCAGCCTCCGCAGTTCAACCCAAAAGAGAAATCGATTGAAATTGACTAAACACGTTCTGCTCAACTATTGATAGAAGTTTTTTAATTAGTTTTTTCATCACTCCTTTTCCTTCACTTGTTTATCTCAACAAGAATAGTGCGAATATTGCTTGTTATAGTTCAAATGCAAGATTGGATCAGGCGACCTCACGCATGTATCAGGGCGAACCTCACGAATGTATCAGGCCCTGGCAGGGCAATGGCGTATCAATCACTGTTGTGAGAAGACAGGACCAAGCTACATCCATTGCATCCATGCTGTTCCTCTTTAAGCCCAGTGAACTTGGGCACTTTTCCAAGCAACGATTCGCGCAATCTCATTCATGTCCGACACATTAGTGACGAAAATTCTCGGCCAGCGCTGCTTTGCAGCTGGGCATTCCTGGATCCCTTGTCATTCTTGGACCCCTCTTTGAGCTTCCCTCAAAGTCCATTAAGGTTTTCTAACAAAATTCTCGGCCAGCGCTGCTTTGCAGCTCAGCTGCACTGCTGGGTATTCCTGGATTCTTTGTCACTCCGGGACCCTCTGTGAGTTTCCCTCCAAATCTTTTCAAATTTTTCTTTGACATCACGATGATCTTGATGATCAAGACTTTTTGCCTCCTGGTAGAACTGATGGAAAGACTTGTAGGTGCCAATAGACCACTCGGACATCAGGAAGAGCCGCAAATCCACCACTTCTGCATGTCTTTTCTCAAGTGTATAATTCCTTTCACACCTGTATTGATATGTTGCCATTGTCTTCTCTTGTTGGGCTTCAAGTTCTTCCAGCTTTTGTGCAAATTTCTTCTGCTCGCTTTTGAGTTCTTCAATGTCCTTGGCCTTCACAACATTGCTGGGGCCAGTCGTCTTCACTCTGGCTTCCAAGCGTGTGAAAAAATGTGGCACGTGCAAGGAGACCCTGAGTTCAACACGACCGTCTGGCAAGACATTCTTCACGTCCTCGCACTTCCTTTTCAAATACTTTCCATCATAGCCCGTGAAGTCTTCAATCTCCAGAACAGCATCTGCGCGATCAGGATTCAAGTTTGCAGAAGCTTCGGGGCTCCAAAAAAAGCCCCAAGGTGCACTGAGGTACTTCGAGGCTGTCACGACAGGCCCATGATGGTCTATGTCCTTCAATTTCTGGTCGATGCCATTTAGAGTGCAGCGAATGTCCTTTGTTTCCTGAAAGTTTAACTCCTGAAGCTTCAAAATCGCAGCAGTCTCATGCTTAACATCTTCCAAGGTCTTGACTACCGTGTCGATCTCTGCCTCAAAAGCTGCAAGCAAAGTTTGGTCCAGGCTATTCAAGTCCTTGCCCTTCTGAAAACGGATGTTCTCAATTGGGATGGGTTGAAAGGTAGCAATGAGAGAGCTCAAGGTGTTCTGCTGATGTGCAAAGTAAGCTTTGAGGACCTGGTTGTCTTTGATGTTGTTCTCTACGAAGATGTGGGCAGCTTCAAACCTGTCATCCTGAGTGACTTCTCGGATGGCTTGATCCACAAGCTCCCTGCGTTCCTGGCATGTCTGCTCAAATGAAGAATCTTCGCGGTCTGTGTAGGAAGAAAAAGGGTCTGCACGGGTGTGCACAACTATCCATTGGGCCTGCAACATAGGAAACAGCTTCCAATAACGAAGGACATGCTGCTTCCAATTTTCAGCTGGTGGAGCGTCGAACCTGCAAACGATCACAATGGCTGTCAAGGACCCCATCATGGAGACAGCATCGATGATCTTCAACACATTCTCATCATCTTTCCCTTGAGAATCTTCCAAGCCAGGAGTGTCCAGGGCTTTGATGCGCAACTCTTGCTCTGCTCCCTGATTCCTTTTGGCTTTGGTTTCTTTCGATTGCAACAACCTTTTGGTCACAGGGTCAGCGTAGTTGAGCAAGTCAGCCATGACAAATCTCTCCGGGAGCAGATTGGTGAGACAGCGTTTGCGGAAAAGGCAAACGGCATTTTCTCCAGCGCATTCAGGCTGGACCTCAGGGCTCGAGGTGGCAAGAGGGTGGGAAAACCTGACATTCGCGCTGTACGACAAAACCAAGCC